ACCTCTGGCTGACTAGATTTACCAGAAGGGCAGATAGGGGGGAATGGTTGGGGGTGCTGACAGCACAGTGGACAGTGGCAGGGATGCCAGAGTATGGAGGCTCTAGTGGGAGAGGAAGGCTGTCTATCTGACGAGTTTATATTCATGCTCAGATGCCAAGGAACTCAGAAAGTAAGCGACTGTGACCAGTAATAGTCATATATAGAGAGATTAGAAATGCATGTGAAAATGTCTCAATGAATTTTTCTGTATGAAACTGTGTGATTTAACAACGAAGTGGAGATCTTTTTTCTTTCTATTCTGGAAGTATCTAACCATCATAATCTTTATACATAAATCCTTCTTAATAAAATATTACCATTACCACATCCATCTAAACCTTTCACCTTTCCATTTTTTAATAACCATGAGACATAATAACATTAATAAATAAACTTTCCATCTGTTGTGAGAATTCTCTTCCTGGGGATGCTGAGCAACGTTTATCCCTTTCTAAGGTTGTAGTGTCAAACCAGTGTTTGATTAATTAAAGTTCACCCTAGGGAATCAGGGAGTTTACTTACAGAGATGGCTGAGGGGTCACTGAGGTGTATGAGTGACCTGAGTGTACTTACACTGTAAAGCCTTTTCCCAGCATGGTTCTCTTCCCAGCCTTCCCCAGATTATATATTTCAGCACTCCCCAAGTCCAGGAGCCCATGTGTGATTATGGCAAAATTATCTACAGTTGGCTTGGAAGAGTGGCTGGATACTCAGGTGAGGGTTTTCTTTTAAAAAATTATTAGTAGGGGTTGGAGAGATAGCTCCGCAGTTAAGAACACTGGTTGTTCTTGCAGAAGACCCGGGTTCGAATCCCAGCACCCAATGGCAACTAACAACTGTCCGTAACTTCAGTTTCAGGGGATCCGACAGCCTCTTCTGTCCTCCTTGGGCATTGCACGACATGGGTGCACTTACCTACATGCAGGCAATACATGCATACACATAAAATAAAAATAATAAAATATTTTTAAAAAGAAAGGGTAGTGGGAAAACAGAAAAGAAAAAGAGCTGGGTTTCTGGGCATTTTATCACTGTTTTTATAGCTCTTCTGTTTCTCATCTTCTCTCTTGTCCACCGTCTGCACCCTAAGTAACGCCCAAGAAAACATAAGACAGCTAAAGAGTCCACTCTTATCCTGGCCTCCCCCCGGGTATGGGCTGACAAGGTACTATCCCCTACACCACAACTGGGTCACCTGCTTCCTGTGGCTCACATGAAGACATTTCTAAAGTGTGACATTATAAAGAGACTGAACATTAACTTGGCTTTACAGTTCTTTTATGGTACCCTCCATTTTACAGCTCAGGGATTTTCAGTCTGGTATCCTGTTCCTTCTTTTGTGAAATAGATTAAAGAGGGTTAACAGGTTATTTAAGGCTTGTGCCTGGCCAGAGCTGAACCACGGTTACTCCCCATGGTACTGTGAAGTCATCCTAGAGTTCTAAAGTTGATTTCACTTTGAGTATAATTAAGTGATGAGAATCTGGATTCTCTCTGCCACCTGCCACCACAACTTAAAGGTTCAACTAGTCAGCTACCTTAAGACCACTTTGACACAGCCTTGGCAGCTCCAGCTGTGGAATGCATGTGTGTAGGGGTGACACTGCATCTGGCTGCCCTTTTTGCCTCCTTATAAGCCCCTTACTGAATGGCAAGTTCTAAGGATGCTTTATAATTCAAAATCGCTGGTACTGTCCAACCCCTCATTCATAGCCATAAGGCTAGTTGTCTTCTGGTGAATGTTAGTATTGCACACAGAGGTCTTGGCATGGAGTTTCTAAGAAGTTGTTTATCTGACCACACCTGGAGACTCACCAAGCCCCAAAGCGGGGCTATATGTGGGCCTCCTCACTCAAGTATCTTGTTGGATTGAAAGGAAACAAAGGCCAAAAAAAAGCTGCTGTTTATGTAGAACTAGCACAAACACTACTGGCTCCAGATAGTGTAGATGGTGTTTACCA